TGGATGATGGATGATGATGGATGGATGATGGATGAGGATGGCTGTTGGATGATGGATGAAGGAGCTGTGCCAGGAGCTGGGGACGGAGCCCTGACCCCCATCTCCTCACCGTCACCCAGCTGATCTGTGCCCCGAGGTCTCGGAAGTAGAAGGTGGCCGTGGTGCCCACGGGGAGGCTCTGCAGCACATCCTCATCCTTCAGCGACCGGCCCTCTGCAGGGACAGTCTGGTGACCAGAGACCCCACAGACCCCCATAGACACTATAGACCCCCAAAGACCCCCCTATACACCCCATAGACCCTCACAGACCCAATAGACCCCCCATAGGCCCCATAGAGCCCCACAGACCCCCCAAGAAATGCCCCATAGACTCCCATAGACACCATAGATCCCCACACACCCAATAGACCCCCACAGAACCCCTATAAACCTCACATAGACCCCCATAGCCCCCAATAGACCCCCCATAGATCCCACCAGACCCCCATAAACCCCCCATAGCCCATCATAAACCCCCACAGACCCACCAATAGACACCCCATAGACCCCCGTAAACCCCCATAAAACCTCCATAGCCCCCCATAAGCCCTCACAGACCCCCCAGTAGACACCCCATAAACCCCTATAGACCCACATTATCCCCTGGGTACCACTCACTGGGATCCAGCCGCAGGGACTGCCTGGCTGGGTACCACTGGGGATCTGCAGGGCACAAGGGAAACTGTGCTGGTGGCCCCTTGGGGACAACAATGGCACCCGGGGTGGGGGGTGGGTGCCCTCAATGTCCCTCTATGGGTGCCCCAGTGTCCACCCTATGGGTGCCACTAATGTCCCCTTATGGGTGGCCCCAATGTCTCCTTATGGGTGCCCCAATGGCCCCCTATGGGTGCCCCCAGTGTCCACCCTACGGGTGCCACCAATGTCCCCCTATGGGTGCCCCCAATGTCCCCTTACGGGTGCCCCCAATGTCCCCCTATGGATGCCCCAATGTCCCCCTATGGGTGTCACCAATGTCCCCCCTATGGGTGCCCCCAATGTCCCCACTATGGATGCCCCAATGACCCCCTATAGGTGCCCCCAGTGTCCCTTATGGGTGCCACCAATGTCCCCCTATGAGTGCCCCCAGTGTCCCTTATGGGTGCCCCCAGCTGCCACCTACGGGCCTTGGTGAAGAGGTTCTTGATGTCGGCGATGGTGGCATGAGGCTCTACCTATGATGGGGGAGGGCAAGGAAAGGGGATGGGTGCTGTGTGTCCCCCCCCATCCCCATCATCATGATGGGGTCACCCCATTGTGGGCAGTGGGGGGGTTCAGCCCATTGTGGGGCGGTGGGGGGGTCCATGGGTACCTTGTCAAGGAAGCAGAGCTTCTGGCGGCTGCGCGCATCCAGGATCTCCACCTCGAAGAAGAGAGCGGCTTTCTTGAGCTTCTTGGGGGGTGGGGGGGGAGGCCGGTGCCACAGCTCCAGCAATGGGGACAGAGCCACCGGGGCCCCCTCCATGGCCCTTGGGCACGGCCCGAAACCTGATCGGGCCTCAGGGTGCTGCTAAATATAAAGGCACCCCCCCCCCCCCAAGCATCACCACCCAATGGCACCCATCCCATTGCCATCACGTCATGGGGTGGCTCTTGGCCATGGTGGCCCCAAAGGTGGCCCTGGAGGTGGCCATGAGGGGCAAAGGGAGGCGGTGCTGAAGGGGACGCAGGGGACAGGAGGTAAGGAGGGACACCCCCCCCCCCATCAATGGGACCCCCAAGGTACCCTGAGGGTGGTGGCACCCATGGGGTGTGCTGGGGGGGTGTGCAGTGTGTGTTATGTGGTAGCACCCAAATAGGGGCCGGCAGCCTTGGGGACACCCAAATAGGGGCTGGCACCCATGGGATGGGGCTTTGGGGATGGGGGCTGTCCCCTCGGGACACCCAAAGGGGGTCTGGCACCCTTAGGGACACCCAAAGGGGGTCTGGGACTCCCATAGAGGCACGGGGCGGTCACCCCGTGACACCCAATGGGGCCTGGCACCCCTGGGACCCCACTATAGCGACAGCTGTATATTGGGACTGTGTATGCTACATGTGCCATATGGGTATGTGTTATATATACTATATATACACTGTATATATACTGTGTATGTAGTATATATACGTGTATTTATACTATATATGCTATGTATGTGCCATATATACACTATATATAATGGGTATATGTACTATATATACTATATATGCTACATCTATGGAATATATCCACTATATATATGATATATACTAAGTATATGTACTATATACACTATATGTACGGCATATACACACTATAAATGATACATACTATGTATATGTATTATACATACAGTATATATGATATATATTATATATACTATACATATATAGTACAGACACTATACATTATATATGTGCCATATATACACTATATACATGCTGTATATACTATATAGCATATATACACGATATCTACTATATATTACATATATTGCACATATACTCTATATGTAATATGTATATATACTATATATAATATGTGTATACTATATATAACATATATACTATATATATGGCATATATACACTGTATACATACTATATACACACTTTGTACATGCTATATACATGCCGGACATACTGTATTTACACATACAGTCCATATACACACTGTACATAGTGCATATATGCCATATATAACCGATAAAGGCCCACCCTGTACGCATGCACACACCATGTACAGTGCACATACAGGGGCCATAGGGGACACCCAACCGCCGCACAGCGCATGCGCACATACCCCCCCCCCCCAACTGTCCCTGGCGCTGCCCATCGTGCCCGGCGCATGCGCAGCACCGCAGCGGCGCCTCGCGGGTCCCTGGCGCTGGAACCGGATCCGAGACCGGGAGCGGGGCCGGGAGCGGGATCGGGGCCGGTCCCGGGGCTGGAGCCGGGGTTGGGGCCGGGCCCGGGCCCCCGGTGCCGCCGCTCACCTCGTAGTGCTTCATGGCTGCTCCCGCGCGGCGGCCCCTGCTGACGTCACCCGCCTCTTCACGCCCCCGCCAATCGCTGCCGCGGGGCTGGGAGGGAACAACCAATCAGCGCGCGCGGTGTGGCCCCCCTCCCACCTACCCTCGCGGCGGTCCCGCCCCTTGCACTCTGCCCCCTCCCTCTCGGTTGCTTGGGCAACGGGAACTCCTGAGCGCGCCGTGGCCAATGGGAGGAGGAGGCGGGGGTGGGAGAAGGAGGAGGCAGCCAATAGGCTGGCGGGACGACGGCAGAGAGGAGGGGCTTCGGGTGGGCGGGGCCTCAGGAACCCCATGTCCCATATCCCCGTGTCCCCATATCCCCATATCCCCATAACCCCATAACCCCATATCCTCATGTCCCTGTATCCCCATATCCCCATATCTGCATGTCACTGTATCCCCATATCCCCATAACCCCATAACCCCATATCCTCATGTCCCTGTATCCCCATATCCCCGTATCTGCATGTCACTGTATCCCCATATCCCCATGTCCCCATATCCCCATATCCCCATATTCCCGTATCCCCATAACCCCATATCCGCATGTCACTGTATCCCCATATCCCCATATTCCCGTATCCCCATAACCCCATATCCCCATAACCAAATATCTGCATGTCACTGTATCCCCATATCCCCATATTCCCATATCCCCATAACCCCATATCCCCATATCCCCATAACCCCATATCCCCATATCCCCATAACCCCATATCCCCATAACCCCATATCCCCATATCCCCATGTCCCCATATCCCCATATCCCCATATTCCCATATCCCCATAACCCCATATCCCCATATCCCCATGTCCCCATATCCCCATATCCCCATATTCCCATATCCCCATAACCCCATATCCCCATGTCCCATATTCCCATGTCCCTGTGTCCCAGTGTCTCCATGTCCCCATGCTGGTGCTGTGCATGATGGTGGCTGTAGGAGGCAGGGTCGGGCTGTCACTGCGGGTGTAGGTGCCTATGGGTGACAGGGTGTCACTAGGGGTGATGATGATGGTGTCTATGGGTGACAGGGTGTCACTATGGGTGATGATGATGGTGTCTATGGGTGACAGGGTGTCACTAGGGGTGATGATGATGGTGTCTATGGGTGACAGGGTGTCACTATGGGTGATGATGATGGTGTCTATGGGTGACAGGGTGTCACTATGGGTGATGATGATGGTGTCTATGGGTGACAGGGTGTCACTATGGGTGATGATGATGGTGTCTATGGGTGACAGGGTGTCACTAGGGATGACAGGGTGTCACTATGGATGATGATGATGGTGTCTATGGGTGACAGGGTGTCACTATGGGTGATGATGATGGTGTCTATGGGTGACAGGGTGTCACTATGGGTGATGATGATGGTGTCTATGGGTGACAGGGTGTCACTATGGGTGATGATGATGGTGTCTATGGGTGACAGGGTATCACTAGGGGTGATGATGATGGTGTCTATGGGTGACAGGGTGTCACTATGGGTGATGATGATGGTGTCTATGGGTGACAGGGTGTCACTAGGGGTGATGATGATGGTGTCTATGGGTGACAGGGTGTCACTAGGGGTGATGATGATGGTGTCTATGGGTGACAGGGTGTCTATGGGTGACAGGGTGTCACAGTGGGTGATGGTGACGGTGCTGTCATGGCGGGTGATGCCGACGCGTTGCCATAGTGACGCTCTCCCGGGGGGGAGGCAGAGGTGGTACCAATGGCAGCTTGTCACAGTTGCCATGGCAACCACCCCCCCTCCCACCTCCACCACCCGCCCCGCCCCTCTCCTCGACGCACCGCTCTCCGATTGGCAGCCGTGCGGAGGGGCGTGGCGTAGCGCTCTCCCATTGGCAGATGCGCGGCGGGGGCGGTGCCAGGCGCTCGGCGGGCTCTGGAAGGTTCCGGCTGCGCCTCAGTGAGGCGGCGGCGGGGCCGGGATCGGGACCGGGTCCGCGATCGCGATCATATCGCGACATGGGCAAGGACTATTACCGCACGCTGGGGCTGCCCCGCGGCGCCTCGAGCGAGGACGTGCGCCGCGCGTACCGGCGGCAGGCGCTGCGCTTCCACCCGGACAAGAACAAGGAGCCCGGCGCCGAGGAGCGCTTCAAGGAGGTGGCCGAGGCCTACGACGTCCTCAGCGACCCCAAGAAACGGGAGATCTTCGACAAGTACGGGGAGGAGGGTAAGCCATGGGGCAGCTGTGGGGCTGGCAGTGGGGGAGGCCTGGGGCCCCTGGC